GTTGGGATTATTGGAGGGGAACCTTAGAGAAACGGTAAATTTGTCTCCATGTGACTTATAAGTCACTTGCATCAAGGTATGCTACCTATATCACACATCTTGGGATATGGCCCTTCCCCGGTCCCTACGAAATATTTCATGCACAGGGATGCAGCTAAGGCCGAAGAAGAATTCATAAGTGAATTTAGAATTTAGAGTTAGGGGATACAAGAATGAGTATGACCTTAATATATACAATCGAGAATTATTCTAATGTTTTCATATTTATACACAAGTTTAAGCCAGCTGGGTTGGTAACATAATCAATTAACAATGATGTTCAGATTAGCCCGTGTGCACGATGGGAAGAAATCACATTTTTGCATTCGAAAATTTGGGCTTAAGACATCATAATTTTCCTTCTATTTTATTGACCACTAGGCTACAACATTGGTCGTTGATAAGAACTTTAAGCTATTGTTAGTAATACTAATCGTCCACCACAAGCATATTTAGAAAAAGTCCCCCAACTCACATTATATGACAAGGATAATTAAGTTTAAGGCCTGAAGAATCCAAACCACTTAGCCCAGATTCTGCTAGAAAATTTTCTGGATGATTTTTAAGAATAGTCAGATTTACAACTGGTCGTTCAAAAATAGCCCAATTTCAAAAGCAATCGAAATTTAGCTACTTTTTATGTAAAGATAAATCTGAGCAAAAACACTGTTCAAAACCCGGAAAATACTCCAGTATATTATGCTGGAGTTCCAGTATAAATATACTTGAACTCCAGCATATTATACTGGAGTTCCAGGATAGTATGCTGAAACTCCAGCATAATATGATGGAGTTCCAGCATAAATACACTAGAACTCCAGCATAATATGATGGAGTTCCAGCATAAATACACTAGAACTCCAGCATAATATATTGGAGTTCCAGCAAGTATAATGGTCCAGTATAATATACTGGAGTTTGGAGCATCAGTGCTCCAATCTCCAGTATATTATACTGGAGCCAACAAAGTATACCGGTCCAGCATAATATACTGGACTTCACACAAGTGCACCGAACTCCAGTATATTATGCTGGACCGGTCTCTATTGTGGCAAAACGGTGGCTATTTTTCATTGACTTGGTAAATGCTGGCTATTTTTTTATTGACCAGTCCGAAAACTGGCTATACCGTGAAATTTTGGCAAATTTCTCCATCTGTCAAGAAAATCAGCTTGGCTGACTAGTTCTAGAAGGAAGTGTAGATAAGTTTATATAGAGTGCAAACAAAATAAGACAACGCATCTATTAGGCTATTACAACGTAACAGATTAAAATTTACATTGTTTACTATCATATAAAAACATTGATACAATAAAAAAGATTTCACGTTAATAAATACTTGGCAAAGGATAGAAGCACTCACGTTTATCAAATCATAAGGTAAGGTATTTGATTTGCTTTAGAATAATATTAGCCTCTTAGGGTCATTTAGACCTCGAATTACATAAATCTAAAGATAGACCCGATAATTTACAAGGACCAGAAAGTTTGTAACAAGTTACAGAGAAGAAACCTTGGTATATATGCATGGTTTATCGCAGTGATATACTCTTTTAAATGAGCAATGTATCATCAACAAGAATAACTTTAATAGAAAAGTGGATGTGCTAGTAGCAATTTCTAACTTGCTTTAGGTGGGAACATTTTGAGATAAACCTACACATTTACTTCTCCACAGTTAGAAAACATATGTAGCTACAGAAATGAAGCGTTAATCCTTACCAACTTGATTGGCAACAAACATCGCAACCATAACTAGAAACTGAAATACTGGACAGACCTTTGATGTTAAATCATTTCAAAGTAGAACATTAAGCATAAGTAGGATTCAATGAAGGGTACATGACAATACCCTTCTACAATAAATTACTTCTACTTCAAGATGGAAATGGCTTGAAGGCGGAATTTGATCCAACTCTGTGCACGAGAAAAAGTCCAAGCACTACTAAAAAAGACGAAAAGAGCACATATTAACCTCCATGTGGTGGAATATGACTTACTCAGAGAGAGGATTAAGGACGCTACCGGCAAACAATATCACGCATGTTGCATCTTCTATAATCAGGAAGAGAAACGAAACGGATGATCAGCAACGAACTCTACTGTGTTCACAGACGTACATGACATTAAAAACCACGAACAATAGGTTAGAGCTGCAGCTTCTGTTCCCTCTTCATTTACCTCAATAACGGACTTTTGAAAAATTTAGAAACATCAAGGTCACTACCATCTCGGTGAGGTCATAGCGAGATACTACCTCAAGCCTTTGAAAATTTTGCTAACTTTGAATCCAAAACACATTTTAAATTTGGGGATACGAACTTTACCAACTTTAACCTTCCGAGTTGGAAGGTGAAGGTCCAAGAATTGAGGTTCAGAAGTGACCCTTTTTACCAGTTCCTGAAGTCCATTATTGGCATCAGGCAAAAAGAAGTACCAAGGAGAAACAACGTCGTCTATCCTCCTCGCCCTGTTTATAAGGAAGCCTCAACACCTTAAAACCTTCAAAAGCTTTTACGTATTGCCTATTAATACTAGTCATGAATGCCACTCGAACAGAGGTCCCATTGAGAAGGCGGAACGCCTTGCGCTTTGTCAATGAACCATTGAACTGTTTATCCCACGCAGACAAGTGTTGTTCTATGGTCAACTGATTTGGGAGAAAGAATTCCTTTGATAAGGCCTCTTGTTTCCTTTTCAGCGATTCACTTGATTTGCCACCTCATAAGCCTACAATATCAATCAAAATTCTGTAAAACAAATATAAAAAAAGGATTCTTTAATTTTTTATTTTTTTCCCGAATTGTTTGGAGTAGAAAGATTTTATAACAAATTGTTACTTTTGGCGTCCAAGTTGACAATCCATTTGCACCAAGTTTGATCTAGTTAAAAGAAGAAACGCAACAACAACAACAACTACTACAAACCCAATGTAATCTCACAAGTGGAGTCTGGGGAGGGTAGCGTGTACGTAGACCTTACCCCTACCTTGTGAAGGTAGAGAAGTTGTTTCCAATAGAAGAAACGCATTTATAGTATTTCATTTATGTTGTATACACCTCCTAGGTGGTTATCAGCTGCACAATACTAAAGCATAATAATTGGAAAGTACGACAAATCCATGATTTAAGTAAAAGAAAGGAATAACAAAAGAACTAGATGGCATCTGAATTTTTTGTTGTAATTAACATCTCAGGAACTCAGATTATGCATAGATTTCCTCATACTATAATGGTGCCATTAAGCAACCTCGTAACTAAATCAATCAACTAAATTAGTTGTGTTTGAAATATGAATCCTCTGTTTCACTCTATTTGTTGTCTGTTCATTCCAATACTTAATACCTACTTATGATTATTGTGTGCTCAAATTATCACATGCAGACATAGAGGTAGCTATTGTAATTTCTTTTAAAAATAACTATGGTTAAATCTAAGTAATCGGTAACTTGGTATCCCTTACATATTGAAGTTGTTGCTCAAAACAGTAAGGCAGTTAGAAAATTATCCTTACTTGCACAGTGACGGAGCCACCTTAGGCTAAGGGGTGTCTGGTCAGAAAATCACAATGTATAGCAACGTCAAAAGTTTATTTTTATGTATATATTTTATATGTTGAATTTTCTTAGCTTCTTTGTTTATCTCTTTATATTTTCATAACCCTTAGTGAAATTTCTGGCTCCGAGGGGATTCAGTGCCCAAATTATGGTGCAGGCGAACTCATGGTTTCTCCGCAAAACTAGGTATTTTATGTACATAAATTTTAGAATGGACCTAATATTATCTGTTGAGCCTCATGCTACAGAAAAGTTGAATGGTGCACTTGGTTGAATTTTGAGTTATTAACCTAGAGGAAATAGGGATCAATTCCCACTAAATACTTTCATTTCTCTCCTTTCTTTAGCAGTACACCCATGTTCTAAAATCCTAGATCCGCATCTGCTCGCTCCCCACCTGACTAATAAATCCCAGCATCCAAAAACAGCAAATTAAGACGAACTCTAGTGAACTATACCTAATCAAAACTAACAACAACAACGACCCAGTAAAATCCCACACCTAATCAAAACTAACCTTGTTCATAAAATCAAGAGAAAAAGAAGCAGCCTTGTAAACAACTAAACATTGTCCCCAATCCGTGTGCAAGAAGGATTAAAGTTCCAAGTCTGGTCAAGCCAGAGGCTGTTAGCGGTAGCAGTGTTTAGAAAGGCGCGCGCTTCGTCGCTTTAAGCGCGAAGCGGACACGAAGCGACCTATTGTCGCTTCCAGCACACTGAGGCGACTCGATCTGAGAAAGCGAGCGCTTCACAGGAGAAGGCGATGAAGCGACGAAGCGGATAAAGCGATCGCTTCTTTCCAGAAAAGCGCAGGGGGTCTTTTTTTTTAAAAAAAAACTTTGGGTCTGTTATTTTATTAGACAAAACAGACCCTAAATCGACCAAAAACCCCTTCCCCTTCGACAAAACAGAGTTGACTCACAAAACCTAGGGTTTTTTACGTGCTGAAGCTGATATCCAAAAGCAGAGACGCCATTGCTAACGCTTTCTCTCTCGCTCGAGTTCTCCTTTCTCGCTCGCGACACTCGCCATTGCTGACCCAGGTAATTTCTTCTTCTCCTTTCTCCTTTCTTCTTCTGTTCTTCAGTTCTTCTCGTTTTTTTTTCATTCTTCTTCTTCTTTCTTTCTTTCTTTCTCTGTTTCTCCGGTCCAGAACAGAGTAAGGACTAAGGAACAATTTTTTCTTTCTTTTTCCTTTTCATTTGTGTATTTTTTCAGCATATATATTTAATTATTATATGTATTTCATTTATTATTATATTTCAGCATATACAATTAAATTATTATTATATTTCAGCATATAAAATTAAATTATTATTATATTTCAGCATATAAAATTAATTATATATATGTATTAGTTTTAGTTTATGTGATTTTTTAAATGTATATTTCAGTTTATATAATTAATTATTATATATATTATATGTATTTTCAGTTTATTGATTATGTTTTTTCTTATATCTTAATAGGGATATTAAAATGTCTCAAAATTCGAAAGAGAAAGACCCAGCTTGGCGCTATGGTGAGAGAGTTAATGAGAAGAATACAAATGTTGTATGCAAGTTTTGCAACAAGATTACAACGGGTGGCATTTATCGCTTTAAATACCATCTAATTGGTGGCGATAGAAACGTCACAAGTTGTCCGAAATGTCCACCGGAGGTGAGGGAAGAAATAAAGAACTTTGTTGAGAAGAAGAAGGAGCAAAAAAATCAAATGGTTCATCAACCAATGGTGACCAATCTTGATGATGATGATGATGATATTGAAGAATTGTCACTTCCAACAAAACGGGGAAGAGATGGGTCAAGCCATGGATCATCGACTAAAGGTCCTATGGATTGCTACTTCTCAAAGAAGCCGGGAGCAAAGGGCGGTGGAAAAGATGTACAAAAAATTGCTAAAGACATTTTGAGGGATCGTGCAGTTAGAGCTTTTGCACGATGGGTCTATGATGCTGGGCTCCCCTTCAATTGTGTCAACTATGACACTTTTGGAGACTTTATTGAGGTCGTTGGTCAATACGGACCTGGAATGAAGCCTCCCACTTACCATGAAATAAGAGGTCCTTATCTAAATAAGGAAGTGGAGGAGACTAATAAAATTGTTGAGGAGCATAAAGTTGTGTGGAACAAGTACGGCTGCTCCATTATGATGGACAAGTGGACGGCAAGAACGGGGAAAATGATTATTAATGTGTTGGTGAATTCTCCCCGGGGAAGTTTGTTTCTTGAGTCCATTGATGCTAGTGACTCATCCACCGACCACATCAAAATGTTCACCTTGTTTCAGAACACTATCGAAAAGATTGGTCCAAGCAAAGTTGTTCAAGTGGTCACTGATAATGCAAGTGAAAATGTGAAAGCGGGTGGCATGATTGAAGGAGCGTACAAGAATGTCTATTGGACTCCATGTGCGGCTCATTGTATCAACTTGATGTTCGGGGATATTTTCAAGGAAAGACCCTTCTCTACAGTTTTTGGCCAGGGCGTTAGATTACATTCTTATATTTGTCAGCGGCCCTTGTTATTGAATATGATGAGAAGATTCACCATGCAAAAAAATTTGGTGAAACCGGGCAAGACAAGGTTCGCCACTGCTTTCTTGACTTTGCGTAGTCTCCACTGTCAAAAAGACAATTTGAGAAAGATGGTCACTTCAGAGGAATGGAGCAGGAGTAAATTTGCAAAGGAAAGTGCGGGGAAAGAGGTTGCACGCATTATTCTTTCTTATTCTTTTTGGAATAATGTCCTTCATGCTCTTAAAATTGGTGGCCCTTTGGTTAAAGTACTCCGTTTGGTAGATGGGGAGGCAAAACCATCAATGGGCTACCTCTATGAAGCTATGGATAGGGCCAAGGAGACTATTCAAGCATCATTCAGTGATGAGCAAAAATATGCAAAGGTCTTTCAGATCATTGATGCAAGATGGGATGAGCAACTTCATAGACCTTTGCATGCAGCTGGACTTATTCTGAACTCATCACTCTTTTATGAGCAGCATGAGAAGAATTCATTGGCTAAAGAAGTGTGGACAGGATTCCATCAGGTTGTTATCAAGTTGAACCCAGATGAAGACTTGCAAGAAAAGATAGTAGATCAGCTTGCTACTTACAAGGCAGCTGAAGGACTTTTTAAGCTTCGACTTGCTATTAAACAAAGAACGACGAAGTCGCCAGGTGACCAAGTGTTTCTATATTTTATAGCTCTAACTTCAATGTATATTTTATACTTATTAACTCTTGAATATTTTTTTTGACTTCTATAGTTGAATGGTGGGACCAATATGGTGTAGAGACTCCGGAGTTACAGACTTTCGCCATCAAAGTTCTAAGCTTAACTTGTAGCTCATCCGGATGTGAAAGGAACTGGAGTGTTTTTGAACACGTGAGAAATAAAAAGAATTATTTCGTGTTTTGAGATAAAGTAGATTATATCTCAATTGTCCAAACTCCTACTAAATACTAATTAGTTGACACATCTTTTTTGCAGATTCATACAAAGAAAAGGAATTGACTAACCTTGAAGCGCCTCCATAATCTAGTGTTTATAAAATACAATATAGCATTGAGGCGTCGGTACAACCACCGCAATATAATTGATCCAATTCTTTTGGACAATATTGATGAGGCTAATGAGTGGCTAACCGGAGTCCCCGAAATTGTGAAGATGAAGAAGTATTTGAAGGCGACTCCGATTTCACTTGGGGTGATGTTGCGATTGGTAGTGGAGTTGGGGAGAATCCTTATGGTTTAAGGAGATATACTCCAAGTTCAAGCCCTATTAGGAAGGGAAAAAGCGTGGCTACTACAAGTCGATCCCTATCCCTAATTGATGAAGAGGAAAGTGATCATGAAGAGGAGGGGGAAGAAGAAGATGACGAGCAATATGAAGATACTAGAGGAATTCAAGATTTTGACAATCTTGAAGAAGAAGAAGAGTAGAAGAATAAGATGTTGATTGACTTCTAGTAATTTAGTAGCTTTGATTTTGCTTGTCCTATGGTTTGTGGATGGTTTGTGGATGATTTGGTGGTACCTAGTACCTAATTTTAAGTATTTAAATTGATGTTTTTGATTATTTATAATTTTACATTATGTTTTTTAAGAATTGCGCTTCACTTTAATAAAGCGTGCGCTTCGCTTTTGAAGCGAGGCGAACCCTTGTCGCTTTTTTGCGCTTTGCGCTCTCAAAAACACTGAGCGGTAGACAAAAGAGGGCCACGAAGAGCGATAGTTGAGTTCATCAATAGAGTAGGATTTGAGAAAATAAACAAGCTGGTCAAGGATCGGACCACTTGAACCTGCCATGATGAGACCCAACATTATTTGTATCGATGACGGAGAGAAGACCATGTTTCTGTCCCTTGCCATTAGAAAAACATGATTGGCTAACATTAAAATACTTGTGTCTGCTTTCTTGCAGCTATGGAGTGCTGCCCCTTAAAACTCTCCGTAGAATACATGCTTTGCAACCACATCCCTCTGCTTTACAATCAAGTTCCGGAGATACATATTGGAGGAGATTAATGTTCCTATTTGTAATAGTGGAGGAGGATGAATTTTGAACGAGGAAATTTATAGTATTTAATAACACTATCTATTTTATTAAAAAAAACTAGAGGAAATAGTTAAGCCTATTTTTATGACTCTTCACATTCGATCGCTTTTACCTAGTTATTCTCTTCTTAAGAAAGTTGCCAACAAAATTATAGGAATAGGAGTAGTGACGTGGATGGGAACTGGAAAGTAATTGAAAACCTCTCTTTTTCTGATTCAAATTTAAACGATCAAAATACTGTAAATGGAATGTCAAAGTGGAATGTTCATAATTGACTTCAAAATACTAAAAATATTAGTTCATGCAGATTTTGTAGTTTTTAAGACTACAATGTTCTAAATGTTGGGGAAATAATTAAATTATAGAAGTTTTTGCATATATAATTTGAAAAAGGAAGGATTTATGTAAGGTAAATTGTCTTATATAAGGATTTACATCGTTTATGTATGCTATTTCCTTCTGACAAATTTGATCCTTTCTCATCTTATTTAATCTTGTATGACAGCACACCCACCTTTAACATTCATATCTCTGTGAAATTCATCTTGTGGATAGGTTTGGATTTAGAGGCCCAACATTTACTCCTATAAAACATAGTTGGCTTCACTATAGAACTTGCCTTTTCACTTTGGTAGGTACCTCCAGGGGCGGATTTAGGGGGCGGAAGGGGATACACCCGAACCCCCTTCGCCGAAAAATTATACTATATATATAAGGTAAAATCTATTTTTTACCTTTATATATTATGTTTTGAATCCCCATGACATAGCCAAAAGCATAGCTTAGTGGTCTAGGGGTTCAAAATTCTTTTGTAAGGTCATTGGTTCAATTCTCACTAGCTACAATCTTTTTTAACTTTTTTTTCTTTTTTGAACCCCCTTAGCGGAGATCCTGCCTCCGCCGCTGGGTACCTCCCTATCGCCACTCATGTGGGACTCTTCCATTACCAACAATAACAACTACTACGCCACAGTCTCAAACAACTCCGCCATTTCAACCATCCTACTTTAACCCTATGCATAACATCTTTTTTATTTGAAAGGGCAACTAATATTGATATCAGGAAAAAACAGCACTAAGAAGGTGCTGTGATTACCACTAGCAATATACTAAAGTGAGGTTAACCCTGACTGTGTTTCAGCATCTTCAAATACTTCCAATTTACACCAAAAGCATCATACAGTCAGATTTGATCTTCCAAATTGAGCTTCTCTGATCCTCAAAACATCTTTTGTTCCTTTTTTCCATATACACCACCAAATAGCCGCTGGTATGGTGTTCCAAGTCTTTTTCGAACGTTTTGGCAGCCCTCCTGCTCTTGCAAAGGGAAGTTCTACTGTTGATGCATAGCCCATTTTGTTCCCATCAAATTCTCCTATGCACAACATCTTCATATATCATTCTATTTTCCTTGAGCATTGAGCCTAGATATATAAAGTGTCTACATTTACGCACCTCAATCCATCTAATCTCACCTCAACTTCACTGATGTGTCGCTGGCTAATAAGTGAAGTTGTTGATCCTTCAAAATTCAAGCTCATGACGACATGGCATCAATGGAGTTATCACCAGTGACATCATAGTTCAGATAACTTAAGCTTACTACAGCTAAAATTCTATTGGCGTAATCAAAAGCACTGGCAGAAATAGAGAGTACCTATATTATTCAGTGGACTAGATGAGGTCCCACGTCGATTGGACAAAATCCAAGTTTCAAGTTCCAAAAACAACTCAGACAGCACAAAACTCACAATTCTAGGGTAAAGAATAAATAAGCTGAGCTGCACCTTCACACTCCCTCATCAGCAAAATAAAGATTTTCAAACTTTTCAAGTTGAAAAACAAATATACATAGCGTCGACTTGTCACACTTTATGATCAAAGACACAAGGAGGAAAACAAGACTAGGTGAATAATGAAGTAAACAACATCACCTTGTTGCGCTTTCCTCTCAAGACACGAGAAGGAATTGGGTACTGCTCCGCATGATGACAAGGATCAAAACTTGAAGTCTTCATCAAAAAAAAAGGGGATCAAAACTTGAAGTGATCCAGTTGACCTGAAAATGCATGCAGCATCCAGTTAAATATCAAAAGAGTTAGAACTATCCACACATGCACGCTTAGTGGTGAAGGAACCAAAAAGGTTATTTTTCTTTGCTACATGTACATGGCTTTATAACCAGCTCAAAGTACCTACTCCTGCCATTCTAAGTTCACATAGACATAACAGAATGACTTGTTTAATACTACCATGATTAATAACCCTTTTCTTCCTTGTGATTGTGAAATGGATAAACATTTTTACTTTTACAATCCACTAAAAATCTGCTGCCCCAAAAACTTGCAGAGAAAGACTGCACTATACCTATTCATCATGGTGCATGAAATTCATGAAACCTTCATGGTGATTATTGTGATGAGCACACTTGGGAGCGTTAGCTGGGAGCTGCAAATAGTTTGGCCCAAGACGGTGTCTCTGGTATCAGAATATGAGAATATTCTAATCTGGAGAAGCTTATCAACTGAATAGTAGATACCAAGGACAACAATAGCAGAGCAAAACGCAAGCTGATCGTTGGACAAGATCCATGTTAAATAGTCAAAGAAGATGCTACTAAGATACAAAAGCATTTCAGGATCTTCTTTATTCCGGTGTATCACATAGTCTGATTCCCTGTATCTCAATCCAAAAGTTTTGAAGTCTCCAACAATGAAAAACTACACACTCTACCAATTAAAGGGACAAAGATTCGCCATATATCATTGTTTCCAACGATGAAAAACTTCACCCTTCACCAATACCAAGCAGAGGCGTCATGGTAATAAGCATAGGTATTACGACAATGACTGCCTCCAGTTGGATATTTCAAGCCCATAGTTCCAAATTTAGCTGCTGGGAAGTAGCTGATTACTGAGGCAGTGATTACTCCGAAATCATTGGAGATACTTACGCTTCGAACCGGCAGAGTAAATCTAGAGTTAGTGGGTTTGAAATGAGTGTGATCATATATGTAGAAATTTTAAATTTGTATATATATATATATACACACACACACATAGACACATACATATTTTGAGCCGACGGCAATAAGTTCAGTTAAATCCACGAAAACCGCTACTAGATTCTGGAACTAATGCCTAACATCTTATTAAATGATTTGCATGGCAATCATAGGTCTCATGAGAAGTTAACCCTGTTACTAAATACAATCATTTACGAAGTGAAACACATGTTGCTACCCTTTTGCTCATTTTACAACTTCTCCAATTCGAGAAGTTCCACGGGAACTAACTTTCCGAAATGGTTATTAACTGGTGCCTGAAACTCTTGTAATCAGTTGATAAGAACTTTAAGCTAGTACTACTATTTATCTTACAACACGCAATTTCTAAACCTAGCATGTGGAAGTATTAACAGTTCCTTAGTGTAGAAACAATCCTCCTAGGAACATCAAAACACATATGATTAATTAATCCAACTGATGTTTTCAATAAACAGAATACAAACTACAGAAGTTGCAGACCAACCACATTAATGTGGACGAACTGAATCACAGACCACATGAATTCCAGTTACTTCCACAATAATCGAGCTCTAGGCGAAAGCACAGCTATTCAGGTCTAACTACTGTCAGTAATAAGCCTCAACTTTTTGGGAGTAAAATACCAAAAAGGAATTTTTTTTTTTTACTTGCACAGCTGTCTGAAAGAGCGAGCCAATGCTAATTCACACCCTTAGAATCTGAAGCTTGTTGGAGAAGGCAATGGCAACCCAATCAGGCTGGGACGAAGACCACTGAAGCTGCTCGATTTCAGCACCTGCAGTATAAGCCAGAATTGGATCCAATCCACCTTCAATAGGCTGGCCCATTGAAGACAAGTCCCAAATAAGCGCCTGAGAGTCATCACCAGCAGTGCAAATATGGCAAGAGCTGTGAGGGGCCCAAGCAATGGCATTCACGCTCGCCTGATGCCTTTGTAATTCCACTACAGGAAGCGTAGGGAAACGAATATCCAAAACGACAACCTTAGCACTGTCCATTATTATAGTAGCCATGTACCTAGGATCCTGTTTGTTCCATCCGAGGCGAACAAGTGGCGTATCGGGTTCAGAACTCTCGTAAATGATCGTCGAATGCTCCTTATCGCGAAGGTCAAAAACCCTAACGGATCCATCAGCTGAAACCGAAGCAAAAACTCCAACGCCGCCCCAAGCAATATCATAAACCTCCTTATCGTGAGCAATAAGCTGAGTATCCACAGTCTCCCTCTCAATATCCCAAATAGTACACGTGGTATCAATGCTAGAAGTACCAATTCGCTTCGGCTCAGCTTCATTCCAGTCAAAGGAGGTCAACGGACCGGAAAATTCACTGTTACGGTTATTATTTAACAAGCTCTTCATTTCAACCCGACTGTTATCGGAGGCGACCCGCCAAATCCGGAGATAGTCGCTCGAGGTTGCGAGAAGATCGGGTTTTTGGCATTCCTTATCGGGTATGAAGATGACTTTAGTAGGCGGGTACGGGTGCTCGAATGAGAGTTTCGGGTCGGATCGAATCTCGCCGTTGGAATCGTCGAGCTGAACGATTTCGACCCGGTTCGGGTACTGCTCGAGTAAGCTGGAAATGGCGAGGCGGTACTTCTTGTCCTTGCGAACGCTCCAGTTCATTGCGTAGATGTGCCATGGCGCCTCGTACGTGTAGATCTCGGACCGTCTTTGTTGTTCGTCGGACCCGTCTTGGTTCGGATCGCTACTCGCTCCCATTTCTGAGTTCTTTCCCTCACTGTCTCCGCCGAATTAGGGCTTGAATGAACAAACAAGATAGGGAATTAATTATCGGGAGGAAGAATGAGGAAAGTCAACATTATTTAGTCCAACTATAATTTCGAAAATTGCACTTTAGTCCTTTAATGTGCTAGTCTTTGTTTATGCACGTACATTGTGTGATTGTACAGAATTTGGTGTTAATTATTAGAAAATCAAATAAGATAAAATAATGAAAGACGTTTATCACATTTCTTTAGGAAAAAAAAAAAATTGATTTAAAAAGTTGTTCAATTTCCTGTAATATTGAAGTTTAAAGTAAGATCCAAGTTATATGAAGGAAGATAAACTAATCTTATATTTAAAGTTTTAAACTCATACTAGAGAATATTTTGTGAGTGAAGTGAAGATGGTTGGTTTCTTACATAGAATTACATAATTTTGATAGTTCCACAAGGGAATTAACTAGTGTTCAAAGTTGAAAAATTATTGAGTTTTTGGCAAAAATCATCCTTAAGGCCCAAACCAAAGGTACATCCTTGTGTTATCCCAGTGAACAAAAATTATCCATGTACTATTTAAAGAGCTGCAAGAATCATTCTCCTGTTAAATTTTATCAAAAAAACTAACGGCATCCATAAAAGAGCATGCCCAGTACGTGTCTTTTCCCCTAAATTTTTCAAGATTGCCACTCCCGCCAAATCGTCTTCCACCTTCACCAAAAAGGATTAAGACTTCTAAACTAAAAGCTTCATTTGTATGAACTTCAGTGAATTTTCTAGGGCAAAGTCCTAAGCAAAAAAGAGAAGTTAGGGCTATTTCTCCACGCCTCAAACGAACCAGCTGATCAGAATGATAATACAAGAGACATGCAGTAGAGGAAGAATGTATTTGTGCAAACTTCAAACTTTCTCATGAATGCACGTGTTTGGGAGGGTTGTGAAACCTTGACGAGGTCTTATTGATTTGCACCCCAATAAGGTCGAAATTGCTTTCAAGGCAGTGACTTGCCACAATGCAGCTTTCAATCCGATAAGTTATTTTTCTTGTTTTATTTGTTCTTGATCAAAAAAAATACTACACTAAGTGTCGCGCCCCATTTTTCCTCGCGGAGTCCGGGTTTCGTCATTCATGGGGGAACAACTCGTTTCTTTTTGGGAATTGTGTATTTGAAGAGTCGCCACCTAACGGATTAAGGTGCGTTAGGGCACCTAGAGCGATTAACTCATGTAACTAGTTTGCATTACCAGAGACTAGGGTAAGGGCTCGAAATAACCTGAGTGGAAGGTGTTAGACACCCCTTGCGGTCCACAACGGTGGGTCCCAGCCGAACTTAAACTATGTGAATTAGTCAATTAACAAGTAAGCAGTCTTAGCACATATTTGCAAATAAAGGTAGTTTTCACAATCTAAATACATATATGATCAAAGAAGCTGAGATGGTCCAATGCACACTTATGAAAGAAGTTTAGATAATTTAAACACATGTAGGAATTGGGAAAGGGAAATCCTAAGTTGATTAGCCTATAGGATCAATCCGTGCAATGCCCGATAATCCTCCTCAACTAGAGGGGCTACACGTGACATTAGCGCGCAGGTCATCATATTATTTTACTACCCATTACCCTCCCCCCTTAATGGTTATACAAGCGAGTTTGATTAACGACCTCTAAGCGTGCTGTTACCTGTCCCTTCCTTGTGGCCCCGGAGGAATTTAGGACCTCTAGACTTGGGCAGATCTAGACAATCCTAAGGTGTTAAAAAGGAAAAAGTCTAGGCGACAACAAATAATACATAGGACTGTCAATTAAAGAAGCAAATAAAAGGCTCATATTCACCTCCACAGATACATAGGCAAATAAACAGCACGTCTCAAACAGCTGATTTTGAAGAAGTTCAGAAAACCTAGGAGCATGATATCTAGATGAATGTTACAGATACAGGATATGCAAGGTTTGTTTTAAGGGAGGTGGAAAAATCCTAACCAGTTTGCCTATTGATTTTATAGCCTATGAAACTTAAGCAGTTTAAACACGATTAGAACACAGTTTCTCATTTTTACAAGGAGATTAATTACCTAAGGCTTGCCTAGGCGTGGGATTCTACACAATCACAGTTGCAGGAGCTGTTTAAACAGATTGAGATTATTCGACCTATTGGCATGCTGGATCTAGGTGATACAGATTGTAACAGGCGATTTATCAATTTGTATTTAGAGACATGATACCCATGCGTGAGTTTGTTTTTAAACCTTTTCATAGATAGTTATTGATTTAAATAAACGTGGTTCAAACAGATGCAAACAGAGTTCTTAAGAACATGGTGTCTAATGCATACAGGAATGACAGTTTTTATTAAGATTACTTAATAGCATGATGTCTATGTGACAGTACTTGCGAAGAACCAGGAATTAAGCATGCAACATGCTGAAGCAGTAAATGTGAAGGCCCTAAAAACAGGATATCTAATGCACAGGTTTAACATGGTTTAAATGTAAATGAACACATCAATCCTAGAATATGGCTTCTAATGCAGATTTGCAGAATATAAAGCCTATAGCATATTTTCTACCCAATTTTACCCACAGTATCATACAACTAGCCTCCATTTCCACTAGTTACCCCAATATCTGTTTACAAATAATTATTATAGACCAGACATAAATGCAATATAGATTAAGCTATAGGGAGCCTGATGCAGGCCCAAAGAAAACCTGGGGTACCAGGCCTTCAGTAGTCTCAAATGCCAAGGGTTTCATTGCCAAATTTGCGTCCAGGTGTGTCAGAGTTCCCTAAGGACCTCAAGGATCCCGGGCAGTGCTCACACCCAGACCTTTCTCAAATAGAGACTGATTATGTGCAGTGTGGAAAGGTCCAGCCCTCATATGCCAGAATTCAGAGAGATCTCACGGATCCCTAAGCAGTACACATACCAGAGGGGCAAAACTTAATAACCTAAGAGTGAGTGAGAGTGCTTGACATAGTTTGAAAGACTTAGTGAAAACAGTTTAGGAGTGAAAAAGGTTTTTCTAGAATAGACCAGTTTTGAGAAAATACTAGGAATAAAAGCTAATTTTTTTTTAGAAGAATACTGACAGCATTTGAAAACAGTTCAAAAGAGAGCAAATTCAGTAGACAGTCAATAAATCATAGAAGGTTCAGATTCACAGGTACTATAGCAGGCAGGTTTGCACACATGGGTGAAAGGGATTGGGAACATATAGGAACCTCATTGGGGTACATGGATGGGGTGCAGGGAAGCATGTAGACAACAATATGTATAGAACACTTAGGAAATTCATAGCCTTAACAAATTAACCAAGATGGTAGGCAATCAAGACATGGAGCAGAGATGTAGAGGACAGAATCAGACACACAAGTAGGATTAACCACATGCATTAAGTAACCAACATGATCACACAGTTGAGGGATTAAGCACAAAACAGGTTGTTCAAGCATCAGATAAACATGTGAAGTGTAGACATACTAGTTGCACGTTGAACAGGGCAGAATTTAGACATGCTTAAACCAAGAAGTAAATAGGAGGATAGGTCAAATTCATAATCAATGAACTAATGCAGGAATGAAACATATAGAGTTTGGATTTCAAATTTAACTAGAGACATACCAGTTGAGGAAAAAGAGTGCAAAATATAGAGCAAGTATAGTCTCACTATCTAGCCTTGGCTTTCAGTTGGCTAGACCCACAATAGCACAAGTAGCAAAGAAAGAGGAGAGTTTGAGTGTGTGTGTGTATTGTGAACTGATGTTCGTGTAGAAGTGAGAATAGAGGAGAGTATGTATAGTAGTTAGGAGCAAAACATAATAAGGTAAAGGAGATCAATCAGTCAGCAATTAAGGAAGCTCACAGAATCAATTATGCACAAAATCAGTATAATCTCCCTTAATTAAGGGGTAATTACCCAACGGTAAAGGGCAGGACAATATTTAAGGAAAGAAAATCGAGTAAGACTTAAGTACAGAGTGGGCAATTAAGGGTAAATAAGCAGGGGTTCCATTAAGGAAACAGTCTTGAGGCATCAGTAAGTATCACAGCTAATCAAATAAGGTAAGAAACTAAATAAGGTCGCAAATAAAGGAATAATCAAGAATCAGCCCCTAAGTTTTTACGGAGCAAATTAGTGAATCGGGAATCCAAGATAGTATTGATTTAAAGGAGAATAATATATGTTTCCACAAATACACAAATATGCTAAGTATAAACACACAGAATCAGTCGAGAAATCGAGTCAGAAACCTTAGTAGAGGCATACTAGGGTAAAAAAATCACAAGACGTTTAAACTAGACTGAGGAGAAATCATGAGAATCAAAGCATAGAACGAAACAGTGTACAGGTAACACGGTCAAACTCAGAATCAAAGCAAAATGTCAAAATTGGGGTTTTAGCATAAATCAACTAGGGCTAAGACAAACTCAACATAAATCGACCACAAAGCACATAAAAACAAAAGATTAAACATTCAAAGTCAGAAAACGTTTAGAGAAAAGGATTTCCAGGAAACCCTAGCTTTAGCAAAAATGGAAAATCACTCGAAAAACCATAAGATTTTTTATGAAAAACATGTGAAATCGGTCCGATTCTTCTCAGATCTGAGAAGATTAAAGAAAAAATTTAGGGTTTTCAGAAGTAAATCAGAGATGAGAACGTAGACTCAGGAACCCACGGATTTAAGACGAAATAAGAAGTTCTTACTCAAAATCAGCCACAACGGCCTGAAACAGGCAAGAAAGACCCAAAGGCGTAAGTAGACTAGCCCTGGCCCCTTGAGAATCTTCTCAAGGACCTTAGACATGGAAGTACCCAGCATAGAAGAGGCCATCAGAGGCCTGGGGTGGTGAAGAACCGCCATGAACGGCAGTAGGTGAGTGACGGCGGTGGAATTAGGGTTCGAGTTGGAGAGCATCTGAGAGACGGAGAGGAGAGGAGTTTAGGGCGGCGGATGTAACAAAATGACTAGGTTAGGGGGGTCGTTTGAATTAAAAAAGGTAAGAAAGGATGAGGGTCGTTGATCTCCGAGACCAACGGCCAGGATTCAAAGGGGTCTGGGTCGAGTTGTATT